CTATACTTTATTTACCTACAGCGACACTCTGGCGCTATATTGCACTTAACAATTTATATCATTTGATTCATTACTCAGAATGCGCAACATGTTCTATCATCTGAAGATACTATTTTAAAGCTAAAACGATGCATAAAAGGAATTACATCTCTTAACAAATACAGAAAAGAAAGCAGTTTTTCACAGACGATTTTGTATTTCTCTTCAATCTAATGCACAGTGCGCTCACTTCGCGACAAGGCAAAAATTCTCATAAAAACTCAAAATAGATCTGGCGACATTAAAATTTTACTGAAGTAAATCTATGAAACACTTATTTCCTCGAAAAAATTCCAGAAAGGATTAAGCATGATTTAATTCGCAATAATAAATGAAGGCGTTATTTTTGTGTTGCGAAGCTTAGTCTCTCTAGATTGGCAACAAGTCTACAATTCTGCTGTTTCAAATGTAAACAAATATGTCCGCCAAGATGTCCGCCGATAACATCGCGGCAAAAACATCGCGGACGAAAACGTCGCGGAGAAAACAACGCAAGGCGAAAACGTCGTGCTACAAAACATCATGGGAGAAAACATCGCAGTTCTAAAACATCGTGATACAAAACATCGAAGTCGAAAATAAAGCGGTTCAAAAACTTCGCAGTTTAAAAACATCGTTGTCGAAAATATCGTGGTAAAAAATAAAGTATCTACAAATCATCGCATGACAATAACATCGCAGACATGCTTTTTTTCAGGTTTTAATAATTGTAAATGGATATTCCCATAATGATTTGTGAGCGCAAGATGTAAAGAAGGATCATTTTTACTTTCACATTTTTTTTATTAACTAATAAATTTTTGCTGAAAAAGTAAGAAGGAAACTTAAGCATAGAAAATTAAATGCAACTCATAGATTATACTTTTCGTGAAAAATTACCAGTAAAAACTTTATAAAATGATGTATTAATGACCTTTGTTAGTTAACTATGTCGGTTTAAAATTCTATTAAGTACTATAAGTTGCATTAATTTTCTATGCTTAAATCTCCTTCTTATTTTCTCAGCAAAAATTTATTAGTTAATAAAAAATATGAAAGTAAAAGTTATCCTTTTTTCCAACTTTCGCTCACAAATCATTGTGGGATTTGGGATTTATCCATTTACAGTTATTAAAGCCTGAAAAAAGCATGTCTACGATGTTATCGTCATGCGATGATTTGTAGATACTTTATTTTTTACCACGATATTTTCGACGATGATGTTTTTAAACTGCGAAGTTTTTGAACCGCTTTATTTTCGACGACGATGTTTTGTATCACGATGTTTTAGAACTGCGATGTTATCTCTTTGCGATGTTTTCTCCCACGATGTTTTGTAGCACGACGTTTTTGCCTTGCGTTGTTTTCTCCGCGACGTTTTCGTCCGCGATGTTTTCGGTTGTAACCGTCCGCCATGTTATTTAAAACTTAACCGCACTTAAACAGCTTTTAAATTGTTGATAATTGTACAAATATTGCTTCCAGAAATACGAAATGCATAAAAACCTTAACCGGAAAATAAAAACAACATAATTCAATCATTTTTAAAGCAAAAAATGCACAAATTACAAGCATATAAGAGTAAAGAAACTGAGATCACTGAGCCGGGTAAGAGAGTGGATATATAAATATATTTATATACGTTTGGTGCGGCCGATTGCAACCAAAATACGAGGTGCACATCTACATGTTATAGCAGTCCCATATACAAAATTTCAACGTTCTGAGGCTACTCGTTTTTGAGTTATGCGAGATACGTACGTACGTACGTACAGACGCCACGAAAGATTCCCTTCAGAATTAATTTTAAAGCAGTTTTATAATTTTTTTGGAGGAAAAGGGTCTTTTATTCCATCCTTACGTACGGATATCACGCAAAAACTTCGTTAAATTGCATTCGATAGCGGTCAAAATGGATATTTTCGTTGAAATATGCTGCCTGAAACTTTTCGCGATTACAATACTTCCTTTTTACTTCGTACAAGGAAGTAAAAAAGAAAAAAAAAACTGTGATATCTTTTCTTAAACTTGTACTAAACTTGCAAAATTACACATGCAGCGAGACCATTCCCGATGTCTCAACTGATGTACTAATCAGTGGCGCAGCTGAAGAGGCATACCGAAAAAAAACCCATTTAAACACTTACCGAAAGTTTACAGTGCCCGCCCTAACGGGCGGCACATTTTTCGGTACGGCATTTTTCACCTGAAGCATTATTTTACAGGGTTACTCACGTGAACTGAATGACCTACGGCAATCCATTGTTAAGAATTATGATACATTGAACTGCCGTATGGAATTAACCCTTTCCGGCGCGTTACCTTTCAAAAGTCGGAGTTTTGATTTAAAAAAAAAGTAGGCAGTCTAATTAGGCCTAGAGGAGTACAGAGGTAAAATTTTGTGCAGATAGCAGTTATCGTTTTAATTCTATGGGTGTGCCCAAAGTGGCACACTGATTGAATAGCGCTTCGAAAAGAGTGCTTAAACGAGCATTGTTGTCAATGAACTGACCGATGAGATGCGAAGAAACAAAGAATACAGACTCTCAGTCAAAGAAAGTCTATGTAAAGAAGGAAAGGCTCCATAGACGTAATGTAAAGCAGTTTGTCTTCTACGCGGCTAGAAAGAAGAGGGACAATTCGCCAAGGGATTTGGCGATGGAACCTGTTGGCGAGAATTTCATCCTTTGTGATGTAACCGGCCAAGATTTTCCACCTCCGCCACGTGTACAGGAAATTGAGGAAGACGGGTTAAGAAGAATCGTTCTTTGACTTTTCGCGATAATTTAAACTCTAATTTTCGTGCTTTTTTGCTTTACTAGTTGAACTTGTATTATCCATATCGCAGTTTGATGTCTGATTTTATATCTGCCAATATGTAGGAAAAAAATGGAGTCACACAGCTTTAAACAATTGATAAACGTGACCGTCGAATCTGTTCGAACTTCGACATCAGCTTCGAGCTTTGGATGCTTTTTGGCGACAGATATTTCACGCATGCGCAGTTGTGTCTCTTTTCGTTCGGAGGGAGCCACTCCTGCTGCTACAAAGCTTCCCTTCTTAACAATACATATTCTTTGTCTCAGTTGTCCTAGATTATCGGCGAGCCTGGTCTGGGCACACGTACGGTTCGCCGTTTGATTTTAGGCAAGATTTCAAGGTAAAACTTTAAAACTAATATAGAATAAGGAGACTGATTAGCATGCAGCCAAAAAAATAACATAGAAATTTCTTTTCAAACAATTCCTTTTATACCCTAAAAAAATCTGGAAGATTTCTTGGAAAAATGAGGGTCTTAAAAAACTGAACATGGCTAAAATATATGGATATGCTTGTGTTGAGCTGCCATCTACTATAAATAAAGAAGGTTCAGAGTAACCTATAGTAACCTATAAATCCATTTACATTCAATTTTTCTGAGCGTACAGAAGGAAATTTTTAGATGTGTCCACACCAAACACACTGTGCCGCAAAGGGTTAAAACTCATCAGCGGAAGAGAAGTAAACTTCCTGAACACCGGTAGTTTGGTACGGAGCTCGAAACTGCTGGCTGCATGAGCGTGTGCGGGGTTTTCCATGCGTGTGACCTGTACGTCAGTGAGTTTCCCTTAGAAAGTCCTCCACGAAGGCATCCCTTCTCTTAGACAGATAGGGGTAGCGTGTTTTGCCATAATCATATAAACCAAACTTAACCATATGGAATTAAATTGAGAAGAAACACAATTTTTACTCTAGATAAAGTATTTAAAGAAATCCCCTCTAGATTTCAAACGATGAATAGTTTTGCTTTGGCTATTTCATTCTGTCGAAACATTTGAATTAAATTTACGAATATCAACTAAATTATGATCATGGTGAAAATAATAACGAAGAATTCTTATTTAAGAGAGAAATATTCAGAGTTTTATTTTCGTTGTTGCTAAGAAAATTAAACAGAAATGTTAAAAAAAGTTCTTTTTTTTATTATTTATTTTGCTCTAACGTACAATCTCCAGAATAAAATTTCAAATGTTGTAATACGATTGAAAACTTTTCTGATAACTACTTAATTATTGTTATTTGTGACAACAGTTTTTCCGGGATAAAAATCAGTTGAAATTTTTTTAAGAGCTACAAATTTTTATCCTGCAGTTTGAGAAGTCTTTCTACACGGTCCATATATTTGCAAATGGAGCAAACAAGCAAACCTCAACAATGTCATCAATGGTTTGTATAACCACAACAGTAATATAATAATAAATAATAATAATAATAATAATAATAATAATAATAATAATAATAATAATAATAATAATAATAATAATAATAATAATAAGGCGTTCATAATAATAAATAGTAATCATAATAATTTGATAAAATAATAATAATATGCTAATAATATAAAAATAATAATAACAATAATATGTTAATAGCAACTAATAATATATAATAATAATAATAGGTTAATACTAGGTTAATAATATAATATAATAATAGTAATTGTAATAATAATAATATGTTTTTGATGAATACGTTTTAATGATAATATGATAGTAATCCCCCTCCTGATAATCCCCAATCCTATAATAATCTTCTAATAAAAATAACTCTGATGATGATAATAAAATAATAATAAGATAATAATAATAGTAATAATAATGTAATAATAATTCAATTAAAATTTTTGAATTTTTGAATTAAGATTTTCTTCAAAAATAACCATAGAATTTTAATTTTTTCCCTAAATGTCATTTTGACATTTTTTTAATTATTTGTTCGTATACCAAGAGGGACGCCAAATTCAGAGATCACCGCAGACGGCAAACACGACTTCCCCGAACGACAAAAATTCTAATACGAAATTAAAACAGTAATTTTATTACAATCAATTCTAAAGTGTTAATAAAGTAAAATCCATGAGCGGAGCAAACACAATTTCATGGGACATGAGCATTTTTCTTATGACCGGAAATTAAAAAATGTCAAGCAAAAAATTTACTTACAACCAACGGTGATATATGTAGAACATACAAATCGCTTGGCATTCTCAAATGGAATCATCACATAGCAGGGATAATAACCTGTGTCATTAATAGTAGCATTTGGATTAAAATATTCTACAGTGTGCTCATCCAGACTGACAACATTGTTTAGAATTCTTCCTTGAAATTTTATCAATAAATCTTTAGAAGACATGTTCGAAGTTGAGTACTTAAGCTTCATTTGAGTGTAAAATAAAGTACACCGAATTCTTATGGGTGAGCCGACTTCTGCATCAAAGTCTTCTGTCATATCTGAAACGACATGATTTGGCTACATAAATTATAAGCACGAAAAAACAAGCTAAACAGTAATTTTATGAAATGAATTGGCTCCATAAATTATAAGCAGGAAAAACAAGATAAATAATTATTTTTATGAAATGATTTGGCTTCAGAAATTTTAAGAACGAAAAAGCAAGCTAAACAATAATTTAATGAAATGATTTGTTTCCGTAAATAATAAGCAGGAAAAAAAAGGTAAACATTAATTTTTATGAAATGATTTGGCTTCAGAAATTTTAAGGATGAAAAAGCAAGCTAAACAATAATTTAATGAAATGGTTTGGCTCCATAAATAATAAGCACGAAAACACAAGCTAAACAATAATTTAATGAAGTGATTTGGCTCGCAAATTATAAGCAGTAAAAACAAGCTAAACAGTAATTTTTATGAAATGATTTGGCTATATAAATTATAAGCACGAAAAAACAGGATAAACAGTAATTTTTATGAAATGATTTGGCTTCAGAAATTTTAAGGACGATAAAGCAAGCTAAACAATAATTTAATGAAATGATTTGTTTCCGTAAATAATAAGCAGGAAAAAACAAGGTAAGCAATAATTTAATGAAGTGATTTGGCTCGCAAATTATAAGCACTAAAAAACAAGCTAAATAGTAATATGTATGTATTGTTGCGTGCGTACGGGTTCGTTACGAAATGAATGCACAAGTCCGATGAAAAATGAAGAAAATTTATTATGATCACAACAAATATGATTAAATGTCCTCAAATAATCGTGCAGTATCGCAATATATCACAGTAGTATCTTCTAACTACTCAAACGTTCAAGAGAACTTAATTCAAAACAGCTAAAGAAAGCTAATCCGCGAATTCACTACAATCAACAAGAGCAGTTTTCTAAACAAACTCTTAAAACAACAAAAAACTAACTAACTCATCGAATTGAGAGGTTTTCCTCCTACTTATAAGATTTTAAATCGCGCGCGAGAATTTTCTGGAACTTTCTCGAAATCAGAAAGAGATATTTATTAAATGTTAAATGGACGAGCTCTTGTATTTTCAATTTTCCGGCTTAGCTTTCTTTTAATATTCGTCATGCGTTGCACTGCGCGGGAAATAAAACCATTTAATTTACAATTCAACTAACGTTAATTATTTAAATGCCAAATTCGTAATAGTATGAAATGATTTGGCTCTATATATTATCATAAGAGCTAAACAAGCTAAACAATAATTTTTTTAAGCAATATTTGAAAGATATGCATGACGCCTTTACAAAGCTTCAGACTTACATACAGTGATTCAAAAAAATATTAGGGCGTAAGAAACTTTCAAACATTTAGTAATAAAATTTAGTCATTATCTGAAAACAAAATATTTTTCATTGATTTTTGCATCTAAATGCCCCTGTATATCTTTTATGAGGAATATTATGAATAACACTAATGAATAAATTTACTATTTTAAATACCTTTAAATATGAAATTATTGTAAAAAATCTGTTGTGGATATCACGTGACTTCCTTGTACGGCCTATTAAATTATGTACATCTTTTATTCCACGCTTCGTTTAAACTTATTTTCTCGAATTATTCTAACTTGGACCCATAGATCAAATTAAGTTGAAAATGACATTACAAACTGTTTAGTTTTTCATAACGAGTATAAAACATACCCAAATATATATATATATATAGGAACCGGAAGACTGCATTTATTATTATATAATGCATATTATTATTATATTAATATAATAAAACGTACTGTTCAATTAAATTCTGAAACACTGTAATGCAAATTTACTTGAAAACAACTTACGAAGTTTTTTGAGAACAACGAGTTTCACTGACCGAGAAGAATAATGGATCATTAAAAATATGATTTATAATTCTTAAACCAGCGAAGTCAAGACTGGCTTCAAATGCTCAAAGAATATTCAGTAAATCAAATAATGCAGAAACTGTTAGAAATATCTTATGTTATATTAATGGCTAGAAAAATCCATTTCTCAGTAAAGCGAATCAAAGGGCATGATTATAATTCACTAAAACCTGTATTAGAAACTGAGAGTTTTTAGAATTCGGCTATATTTGCGGATAAGAATAAGTTTAATATACTGGCAGTTATTTTAATCATGGTGTTGCCAAAACCCAATGCTGAATTTCAAATGAAAAATCTTATTCCTTCAGTAAAACATGGTAGTGACAGCCATATGTCATCGGGCTACATGAGTGATTGTAGCGTTAAAATTCTAAATTTTATTGATGGCAACATTGATAATAAATTGAAATGGTTCATCGGCTAATTCTGGATACAGCAAAGCAAGGAGTTTTGTAGAAGAGAGATTTCAATTAATTTTAAGGCTCCTTCCCCCTGATTGTGACATTGAGATTGATTGAATTCCTCTTCTGTTTTTGTTCATTTTTCTTTTAATTTCATAATTTTTGAAGAGGGGTTTTGCTTGTTTAAAATGTTTTGGTTTTTAAAAATAAAAAAAATATTATTGTATTTCTATAATTATTTGAAATTTGTTAATTATGAATTTTAATTTCTGGCCTTGTGAATATTACTCTAAATTTCTTACTTATGTCTTTATGATAATTTTTCTGCACCTCAATGCGCGAAAAGAACTAGGCATGTTTGTGTTTTGTTTCAAAAGAATTATTATATATATATAATTACAAAACATTCTTTCAAAGAAATATATATATATATATATATATATATATATATATATATATATATATATATAATAACAAAACATTCTTTTGAAACAAAACACAAACTGCCTAGTATTTTCGCGCATTAAGCTGCAGAAAAATTACCATTAAAGACATAAAATAAGAAATTTAGAAGTAGTATTTGACAAAGAAATTGAATTTCATAATTAATAAATTTCAAACAATGACATAAATGCAACAAGGAATTTTAAAATTTTAAAACAAAAAAAATTTCAAACAAGCAAAACCCCACTTCAAAAAATTTTTTAAATTCTATGAAAAATTAACAAAAACAGAAGAGGAATTCAATCAACCTTAATGTCACTTCATCGAGGGAGAAGAAACTTTAAAATTAATTGAAACCTCTCTTCTACAAAAATCCTTGCTTTTCTGTATCCACAATTAACCGATGAACCATTTCAATGTATTTTAATTATAATTATAATAGTTCACTTGAAATTGTCGCTTACATGCGGGTTCGTAATAAATTGAATGCACACAGGTTCGATGACAGGTGTGATCGATGCACACAGGTTCGATGCACACAGGTTCGATGACAAAATGTGTATTATCAAAAGAAACATTTCAGAGTTCTGGAATGTTCCACAGAAATACTCGCAGAGGTGTTCACAGTATCACAGAGTACAACCAGTAGTTACACTTCAAACTACTAAGAACGTTAAACACGACGCAATGCAAAGAGCAGCTAAAGAGAACTGCAACTGCATTTATACCGCCGAACCTGGACTTAATCACATTCGGGGACTGGCACAGAGTGCCAGTTGGAGTCACACGAAGATGACTTTAAGCACACCTGCTGGGCCCGGGTTCCTACATCCCCGGGACACCAACAAATTTTAAGTTCCCTCTGCTAAACACTCAAGTTTAGCTGAACCCACCGCTAAACACGGGCCAGTCAGACCCACCGTCTCGGCCGGACCGAGACCACGATGGGGTGGGCTGATGACAACTTGGAGCGATGACTGGCCGTTCATTTTGGCTACCTGGCAGCTGCACGCGGGATGCCCCTCTCCTTAGGCTTTGTATGTAATACCAAGGACAGCAATGACCAGACGCTCAATGGTCCAGTTTGCTATTTGGCTACCAATACCCTGGTGGATGTGGACTTACACCTCCCGGTCCATGAAGAGTGAGTATAGGACCCACCCCATGGACCATCGGGAACCGCCAAGTTCATAAATTTTTATACCCCCGGGGCCGGGACTGTCTAGGTACAGATCCTCCTAGCCAGTACTGCAAAGAGCACTCTGCGTCAACCACCGGGGGGGGGAGCTAAAGAGAAAGCTAACTCGGATATATCTCAGTACTCCGAACTCACGCTGAACTGACAACTTGCAACGACAACTGAGAGCAGACTTTTCTGTCCGGCCTTATATTGTTTTCACCCGGTCGCTAAGATATTTCTAGTATTTTCTGCTTCTCCCAATTACTGGAAGAGATATGAGGGTAGAATTCTTTACCCAGACTCCGAGTGCGAACGAGTTCAAGTTTATTGACTCTCGATCACTCCTTTCTCCGCGTTTTGCTTGTGACGTTTAGATTTTATTATTATGATAACAAGAATGAACGAAATCTCAAGCCATCTTTTAAATTCTTATCAATATTTTTGAAGGATGACTGCTCCATTCTAAATTGATTTTACTCCTTTTATTTTGACGCAAAATTTAATTTAAGAGACCTTTTTTAGTTTTTTACCTTTTCTTGATGCAGAAGGCATTATCTCATAAAGCTATTATTTTATTTTTGGCTTCCTAAATTTTTACCCCATTTGATGAATTTTTCTTTTGATGTAATTTATTTTTATCTTTGATGACGGGGAGCTAAAGGCCTAACCTAGCCGTAGTAACTCCGTAAATTAAGCTTCCTTGATCTTTGACCCTGAGGTAGAATTATTGTTACAGCTACTTTCATCATGATCACTATTCATCATTTCACATGACATAAATATTTTCGTCATTTAAAACATTTCTGTAAGTGGAATCACATGATCACGACCACGGATCACATGATCACGGATCACATGATCACATGAATCTTATGTTTCCTACTTTTGCAATTTGGACCTTATTTATAAATACGTTGTCATATTTTCTTAAAGTTCACTATGTCATTTCTTTAATCATCGTCTAAATGCATTATGTCTACCTTGCAAAGACGAAAATGATGGCATCTCCTGCTGCAGCTGGCCATTCCAAACAAGTTGCTCTGAAGTTAGGCAGCAGAAAATCAGGCTACCAGCTAGTGGAGCTTTTTTCAGAGGGATATGAATGCTGTTGGCATAGCGAACCAAAATTGCTCTTAACAGAGCTGAAATTTCAAAATCACGAGAGAAGATTTTTCACTTTCCACTGCAAACTAACCACAGATGAAGGACTCCCATGTTCCACTTTTTGTAGGGAATAAAGCAATGTTTCTTCTTCAGACCACTATGAAAGAAACAAAGACTTGAGAATGGCAAGTGATTGCAGGTCACATTCAGCTTTCCCGAGAATTGCTAAGTGGTTGTTAATAAAAAAAAACCTTTTCCCAAGAACTTCGGGGTGATCTTAAAAAAGTAAATGAAGGTATTTCAACACAATGCTGTTATGGAAAACCGGTTAGACATTAACCATTTGTGTCATTGCATGTATAGAGATCAGTAACCATTCCTTTCTTGCCAATACAGAAATACACCACGAAAGCTATTTTGCCAAAGCCGCTACAGAAGACATGTACCATATATCATGCTACATATTTAAATAGTATCAACCAGGAGGGTTGCAGCGCACTCATATATTACATTTTATTACAACATATTTAAAAATAGTAATTCTCTGTATGTACTTTATTATATTCTAAAGGAAGTGTATAGTTTTCACTAAATGCATGGAATTCCATCTTAGAAAAATTTATAGTTGAGAAAAAGAATCTAAAAACAGCCAATCACGTATGTTGCCACACTGAGTGTTGTAAATATTGGTATGCGAGACATGCAACTGCATAGGGGCCCAAGGCCTTAGAGGGCCCTTACATGTTCCGCTAAATTCGATTTACAATGTTGGAATTTAGAAAGTTAATAGAGTAGAATAGTTATTTTTGCTTCCACAGAAATTAGCATTAGTTCCTTTAGTTTGGGCAATATTCAGGAATATTTAAATAATTCCATTTAATAATTGACTGCATGGTTAATGTTAATCTGAAATTAAAGTTTGGTATTTTTAAATTAATGACAAATGTGCTCAGAAAGAAATGTGAGTTCTATAAGTGAAGTGGAAATTTTTTATTTAATTTCTATACACTATGATATTAAGACTTTCGTAAAAGGTTAAAGTTTCTTGGGAGTTTTTTTTTGAGTAAATTTCAATTAGCACCCAGATTTTTAAATTAAAAGCATTTCCTAACTTTAAAAATTTACCAGGTAACTTAGCTATTTTTTAATCTTGCATTTTATTTAATTAGTTTTAACAAACGTTATGCATTTTTAGAATTTAAAACATCTTCACAGTTTGCCAAAGCATACTGAGGAAGACTGTATATTTCGCATGATAATTGAAATCCTTGTGTATATGTATTTTTTATGCCATTGTCTTAGATAGTAAATGATAAATAGTATAAACTAAAATTTTGTCGTGATAATACAGTCAAAAGTCGTTAATCCGGACACGTCGGGACTTCGGCGATTCCGGATTATCGATTTTTCCGGATTATAGATCATCAGTTTAAATCTCGTAAGATAGCATGCAGAAATTCTAAAATTAAAAATATGAAACCTTAATTTATGAAATAAAGAACAATTATGATCTAAAGGGTATCAAAATTTACAAAGAAAGAAGCTCAATATTAATTTGTTTACTTTATTAAACATTTCTTTCAATGTAAGTTGTTTAAAGTTGCTTCGTTTTATGTGATAATACTTTCTCTTTAATTCTATAAACAGACACGATTTCTTGTTCAGTTACAAGTTCCGCTGTCAAGTCCCTAATTGCTGGGCGAGAATACCGACTAATGTCAATCAATTTTTCGTTTCCTAACTCTCGGTCACATTCTCATGTCTTATCCATTTTTTGCAGCAATCCACTTTTTGGATGGACATTGAAAAGCTTTTTTTTGCCATCTTTGGGAGCTCCAGAAACGGAAATTATTTGACATATCAAAAGTCAGTTTCTTTTAAAATTGTCTTACAGTCTGCAAAAAATATAAACCGGATCCAATCGAAGATAAGAACATGCAATCATCACATTAACGGAAATAGATATTAGATAATTTAAGATTTTACGTCCGTTAACATTAAAACGCGCACGCGAAAAAGTAGTCTGCGTTGCGCAACGTAGCGCAGTGGTAAAAAGTCTAGTGCACGCGTAAAGCTATGAGCATGTGTCAGCGGCGCAGGCGAAAAGTTTAGCTTGAGGTCCGAGTATAGATCATCCGGATTATTGGTGTCGAATAACGACTTTGACTGTAACATTTGAGTATAATTACAATAGGTGAATAATTGGTCAAAATTTTTATATATATATAATGTCTATAATAAAAAAAAAATAAGAAATGACTGCATTCATACTCCCATGAAAATTTTACACTTTTTTGTGAAAACTTATGCAGATAATACATTGTTATTATCTCTTGAGATAATTCCAGTGTAGGAATTTTTCTGAGGCAGGTAAAATAGGAGATGTGCAGTCTGTGTAATCTTGGAAGCCTAAATGTATTTCTGGAAACAGGAATGGCAAGGGGCTATTATAATTTGAATTAACTGAAGTAACTGGAAGCAGTTCTGTTTGAAATGTGATTGCCCACAGCAGTAGATTTGCATTTGATTTCCCATAATGAAAAGGGGAAAATATTTTCAGCTGGAATTGACAACGTTAAGCCCCCCCCCCCCGAAACACCAATGCCCAGGGATCAGTCTTGGAAAATAACTGATTTTGCAAGTATTGTTTATTTTGCCGGCAAATAAAGAAATTTTTAACAAAAGTAAGACAAAGAATTCTTTAGTATTTGAGTTCTAAATCAGCATCATCATCATTTACTAAGTGAGTAAGTTGAAAGAGATGTTGTAATTTTCCAAATTTTACAGCAAAGGCAATTTTTATTTAATATATTAAAATATACTGACTATTTTATCAACTAGATATTTCACTCAATGGAAGATACATAAAATGTTATATTTTCTACATACACAATCCTGTCAATCAGTATGCAGAAGTTGTTTCTACTAAATTGCCTGCTTTTTTAAACATTTTATAAGGGTTGTTCAAATGAAAATTTATGAAACAACACTATGGATATACTGAAGTCTTTATTCACACGTAATCACCAGATGCCTGAACACAATGATCCCACTGTTTCAAGAGCCGAAGGATTCAATCTTCCCAGAATTGCCATGACAGGAGCCAGCCCTTCAGTTCGTTGTCCGAGTTGAACCACTTACCACCAAGTCGTTCACCTTGTTGATAAGTTTGGGCATGATTACCATATTTGAATGCCTTAGTCTCAAACACTCCAGGCCTTTACGAAAATTGGCTCTCCACTTTCTCACGAACTTATTGGATGCACTGTCTACTCTTATATGACCATCATCGGGCGATGAATATCGGCCTGTTTAAACCCTTCCATAGTCAGAAATCTGATAACACCTCACTGCTCCTCAGTCATCGAATTTTGCAATATGAATGCCGTGAAGTCCTCATACGCACGCACTGGCCCATCAATTGGACGGAACACACAACTGCCTACTTCTCTCTTGTATCATGTGCAGTTGTTCACGTATGCGCACAACTACATTTTCGTCCTTAGGTGCCTCACTGTTATGCTAAAGTGGCAGATTTAAATTTCAACCAGTTTGTTGGTTACGACATTTTGTACCTTTTCATTTGAATAACCTCTGTATAACTGGATGTGTACATTAAAAATCAATATTTGAGGAAATTACTCCGTAAAAATCCTTTTCGAGCACTCTTTATTATTATGCAGTTATTAAATTAAATTTTCCCTCTTTCCATATCTTGTGACAAAGCTCAAAATTGATATATTCAGCCTGTTTTCAAGGTTTCAACTTCCACAAAAGAAATACTTGAAACTTTTTTAGAAAAATTGGTTACATATGAGAACAAGTATTAAAGTATTAAAATTTTTCTGTTCTTTGTAATCTAACACAGGATGTAATTTGAGAACTTTTAACAACTTCTCTTGCTTAGCCTCCAATTTTTGGCAAACGTGCTGGGTTCTTAGAAGTTTATGTGTTTTCCTTATTTGTAACATGGATACAAACCAGTTTCCCATAGAAAGTCCACCATGAAAACATTTCTTCCCTTAGGCAGATAACCTTTGTGCAATAAATAATTCAGCCTAGTCTAAGTTAGTCATGGGTTGCTATGCAGCTAGTCAACTAATGGTCTCTAAAATTAATTGAACAAGAAATACATGAAAGTTAGTTTATTTGAAGATGATAAAGCACATGACTATCTTCCAAATGGGAGGGATACCATCATTAGGACTTTCTAAGGGAAACCACAAAAACTAAATATGCAGCCAGCCGTTTGGGATTAGATCTAGATCAGAGGATCTTAACCACAGTATTCAAAGGTCTTAATCATTTGAAATGCATGAAAGAATTAATCTGCTATATATTTAATTTCACTCAAGCTGGTTACTGCTGTGCATTAAAGTTCAGGTGGTTAGAAAAATAGGGAATTTTCATAGAATTAATAAATGATTTTGCAGAAATGAAATTAGCAAGGTGAAAAGTTTAATAAATCAGAGTTTTTTAATGTTATTGTCAGGGACTTTTATCATCAGTTTTATCAGTTACATTGTAGAGTCATCAGGCTGTCGTACTGTCGAAACAAGCAGTATGAAATATCAATGATGCCCTCATCAGTATTCAAACTCTGAACATTTTGATGGGAGCATGACGTGCTTTCCCATTACTCCCCAAAGGTACAGGGTAAGCAAGGAGAAAATAACTTTACAACATTAGTCAGCTACAGTATTACCTTAATTACCAAAAAATTAGAGTGATAGAAAGAAGAAAATTAAATACATAGAGGAATTAAATGGGTAGAGAGGGAAAATTTCAGCAAATGTGTATTTCACAAAAAAATTGTATGTAGCCGTAAAATTTTTTTTTACGAAATTTCCAATATAAATGCTGATTTTGAGGCTAGACAATACAAATTTTACATTCAAGAAGGGCTTATATTTTCTTTATCTTTCTTTATTTTTGTAAATTTGTGAATAATTCATATTTGTGAGCTAAATAATGGTACAAACTTAAAATATTTCTTTTTATATGTTTACCTATTCTGCTATTAGTCTGTAACTTAAGCAGTCTTTTATTTATTAAAATAATAATAATAATAATTTATGATAAAGAAGCCTTAGGTTTTGCCCCAAGGAACCTTAGGTGATGCAAATATTGTTAACATGTAAAATTTTATATAATATCTCTCTTTAGCCTTATATTTTATGTTTCTTTTTAATTCTGTAATTTACATTACATGCTTCTTTTTCATATAGATATGTTTATTTGTCCTTGATACAGACCTAATGAAAGTAAAATCTCATAAAAATCTGATTCTTAAAAATAGCAAAACTATTAAAAATCAACTGATATCAAGAATGAGGTTTCAACTTTTCATTCTTTGTTGACCTAAAAATTGAGAAACGGAAAAGAGAGGGACACTTCAAATTTTTCTTGCAAAAAAAAAAATTCAATTATGTGTTTCCCAATTTAATGCCCTTTAAGCATGGGTTTATATTGCTTAGTAATTAATTAACCCTAACCCAAGTCATTTTTAGTGAAAAGCCATCGATTCCCACTTTTCTTGAAATGCTGTAAATCATGGGGAGTGGGGCCTAGAAATATGATTTTGCATAAGGGCCCACAAGCTGTATTTACACAACCACAGCATAGGACTTTGATCTTCCATATGCCCCTTGCAGCAATTCTCAGAATATTGTCATTTAGCAAGGGATAAACATCATTATCGTTGAAATTTACTCACTGTTGATTGACTGTTGAAGTTAAGTGTTTTAACAGCAATGAAGATAAGTCTTAAAATTCAAATCTTTTAAAATTCAAATCTTTTAAAATTCAAATCTTTAGCTCCTTTTTTAATAACCCTTAAAATTTAAACTTTTAGCTTTCTTTTTAACAATTTATCTAATAATATAAATTGAAAGGTATTTAATTTATAATAGATAATTTATTGTTGATAACTTTTATCATTTGCATCATATTGTTTTAATTAGCAAAAAAGATTTCCAAGTTGTAAATTATGTATTTGATGCAGAATTTTTTTATTGTTTATTTGGTACCTGCTTATTATAGCAGGCCCCAACTTTATGCAGCTATGATTTCAGAAGACTCATAAAGCGTGAATGTAAAAATAAAATGACACACAGGCTGTTCACACATTTTTAGTTGATTTTCATTATATTTAAACAAATATTTTACCTAAAATTTTTGTGTTATAAAACCTTTATTCTTCACTATCTTTCTCCACCACTATTTCCAAAACAATAAAGCCTTTTGTATTATCGGAAGAGGTACTTATCCCATTCCGCTTGAACAATTTTCCAAAGTCCAAGATTGCTTTTTAAAAGTCTAAAAGCTCAAAATCCCATAGTGATACATCAAAAGACTTTTTGTCTTGATACCCATTTTTTTCCCCAGGAAATTAGCAGAGTGTTTTGACATATCTCTGTTTACTTTCTTTTGGTGTAGTTCAACTGATTGATCATACTGTGTGTAAAGAAAAGGAATTTCATATTTGAAAATTGGGTATAAAATATGTTTTTGATAATACATGGAGTTGATCTTAACATTTTTCTCCACTCCCTTTACTTTTAATTTGCCGTTATATCAAAAACCATCAACAGCCATAAATGCATTTGGAAAATTTTCTTTAGATTCTTTGAACCATGTTTTAAGACTTTTTTTATCTTTGATGATAATAAATAGATCTCTTTTTATTGCAGTCATTTAAATGCACCCAAGATTCATCTGTCGTGACATTTTCCCATTTTTGTCCAGATAAATGTTTCTCATAAAGATTCTGCAGTGTGTTCTGTGTTCGATGATATGTCATGTGAAAGACTGCACATTATGTTTTTTCAACTTTTTAACATTCAAATCAGCATTAACCACTTATTTTTATTGTTGAAACAGAGCATTTTAATGACTTAATGGATTTTCTTTTAACATTAAAGATCTTACCTTTGCAACATGAAAAAACATGGCATTCACATCTTTATTTGATAAATTAAAGATTGTTAACCGCATATTCACAAAAAAGCAAGGTATATTTGGGGGGGGGGAAAGCAATGTGAATAGCAAAAATGAAATACGATGCTAATATAAGGACATGTGGCAAGATATCTCAGTTTATTAGCGATTCAATCTTGGTGGCCGCTATAATAAGAAAGTACCTTTTATCTTTATCATATTTTCCATTTCTTCATTTTTAAATATATTTTTTTTTTTTCTCTGGTGCATATGAGATCATAAACTTCTGAATGTAATTTTTTGTATTTTTTCTCTCTTAGGTTTTGGATACCATTTATAAACTTGGAAAAGTTCCTCTCCCAGCTGATGTCTTACTGGTAATATTTGGCTAGAAATTATTCAGTATCTTTTTTTGTAAAATTCCAGTGTAAACAATTTTGATGGGTACTTTTAATTACGGTACTTTTCTGTTAGAGCAGTGTCAGTTAAAAATGAGTCACTTTTTTTTTTCCCCCACCAATTGTTGCCATGTATAAAATTGTGAAATAATAATAGAGTTCAAAACACTAAAAAAAATTAGTTTCGTAAAAACTAAACTTTTTAAAATTTCTTAAAGTAAATTTTCCTTTGTAATAGTTTAATCTACAATATTCTACACATAAATAAAAAATAACAAAACTAATTCAATCTAAACAGGTGGCATAAAATTAAAAATATCATTCAATATTGCAAGACAAATTTCAGTTTTTAAGTATAACAGATACCACATAAATTCTATCAAATATGACTAATTGGTTGCAAACAGTGCCCAGCTGACATCTATTTCTCCATTTAGCACTCCACAGTTTGGGTATGGTATCTAGTTTTGGGGTCTACAAAACTATTACTGTGATTTGCAGTAAAATGTTTACTCAGCATTTCTCAATTCATCTTTCTTATATCCTTTCTAGCAGTCTGAAAATATAATGCTGCCATATGTGATGTTCCTGAATCAATATTGTAGCACAACGATCGGGAACGGCGACCCGAAAACATTCTTTGTTTTCTTAGCATAAATGACCGAATACCCATTGTCCTTAAAGAATGGTGGCAGATAGCTGAACCTCCTTAAGGATAAAGTTCAGGTGGGTGGTCTGGATCTGGCCACTTGTAGGAAGGCAACCTGGAACCTGACTGTTCTGAATCTGAAAGGTTGGTGAAGCTATAGGGTGGATGATGCGAATATAAAGTCTCTCACCACTCCAGCTCAGACATAGGCCTCTTCGTGGCGCCACTATTTAACCTAGTTGAGGCCAGCTACTTAACCAGGGCTTACTATGTTCGGGCGAGGAAGGGTTGTGTTGAGGGGGGTCACGGGTCTGGTTCCGAGTACAGACTAGGTCCTCCTCGCAGCATTAGGTTTCAAATGGTGGCTCGTCGTCTTTACGACGCAAAAGCCAAATCTGCTATATCAGTGAGTGTGTCTCGAATCTTACGGACAAATTTAGAGATCATATTTGCTGACGAATCCCACATGGCCACTGGGAGTGCAGATGCTGATTAAGTTGAATGGGCCTTATTTTATAGTTTGTGAATGAGTGGGCTGGCAACTCAGTGACGGCCTGTTAGGGTATCAAATTGTGGCTTGGCATTTTAGTGACGCATAGGCCCCCACGGTTATGACAGCTAACCTTAATGGTTAGTTTGTTTTTATACCGTGGTTACTAGTGAAGCTTCACTTTATATCTTATCCTGGGATTTCATTAAAATCTCGCATAAGCCGGCGTTTGGTATGCGTTGACATTGTACGACTTGGAGCCCCTTGTCTGGCCTGGTCCTCTTAGTATTTCGTAGGGCTTTTTTGGAGTCGGTGGCGCATGCTATAGACTCTGCCACGGTCTGTTGAGCTCCTGCGCGCTCATGACGGTTGTAGTAAATACCACCTAGACGATACCATAATTCCCTAATAAACAAGTAATTTTGCACAATGGGGGTGTAGTTCTAGTCTTAGTTGTCCCTTAAGAACATGTCCAATGTTCTTTTCCCATCATTCAAATTCACTGCAATCATGCAGCCAATATGCCATAATAGGGTTTTCATAACATTCAACTACTCAGGTTACCAAAAATGAAATAACAATTTAGCGATAAATGAAACAACAACTTTGTGATAATCCAAGGGTGCCCTTAAATATACTATAACCTTAAACTTATTTAGAATTTTTTAATCCATCTTTCAACCCACAAAGAGGTTACAACCTGTACATTGAATACTGCTGTATTAAATAATGTTAGAGAAAAGCAAAATCTAAATATCCAGAATTCATCTTTAATTAAAATTTCTTATGTGTTCCTTTTTCCTATAGTTTTGATATATTTTTCTTTCATATAGGAAAGCGGTGTGTATGCACTTATGAGGTACATAAGAAATAAGGAGGGAAAAGTTGGATATGAAGCAATAAATCTTGTAAACAAGTGGAAGTCTGTTATAATTGCAGCTGCAAAAGGTTCTGAACCTTTATCTGCAAAAACTGTTGATCAAGTTGTGAATCAGAATTCTGAAATACGAAGCTCTAATACACCTTTGAATTTTGTTAATAAGCTCCCTGTTACTACTAACCACCACTCAAGTTGGGAGAAGGTTTGTTTTCAAACTAATCCAGTAAATAAATGGGATAAAAATGACTCTTTATGTTCAGCTGGAATTTCATATGAAAATGAACAACGTTCAAGAAGTAATTCTTTTAATTCCCGCCAAGAAAACCATCTTAAAATTTCACATAATTCAAATTTGGATTTTTGTGATAGCCTCAGCCAGTCATCAAATGTGCATTTAATTACTAAAGATACTGAGGATCAACCTTCAAATGAAACTAGTCATTGTGCAAAAACACAGATCATTGCACCATATTCTATTGATTTGAAAGAAGGTATGTTTCGAGCCGTTAAAATTAAGTCTGACAAACCATCAAGGCTTAGTATTTTGAAAGAAAATTGCTCTCAAATAGAACTCGTTAACTGTGAGATAGACTATTGCAGTAATTCTGATTATAAAAAAAATATTCCGTCCAAAAAAGATGCAAATAAATTTGATGATAGTAAAAAGTGGTTAAATAGTGTACATAAAAAAGAAAAAGAAAAAAGTAATTTGGATAAATCCAAATTACTGAACAGCTCTAAAGGAGAGAAAGATGTTGTGGAGAAAGATAGTAAATTGCCAAAAAAAGGATCTGAGAAAAATATGATCGAGAGCGATAAAACACATGTGAAGTCTGAGAGAGATAAAACACCTGTGAAGTCTGAGAGAGATAAAACACATGTGAAATCTGATAAAGCTAAAACACCTGTGAAGCCCGATAAAGATAAAACACATGTGAAGCCCGATAAAGATAAAACACCTGTGAAGTCTGATAAAGCACCCGTGAAGTCTGAGAAAGATAAAACACCAGTGAAATCTGACAAAGATAAAATGTCTGTGAAATATGACAAAGAAAAAATACCTTTAAAATCTGACAAAGATAAAATATCTGTAAAACCCGAAAAAGAGAAATCATCTGTGAAATCTGAAAAAGTGAAAATATCTATGAAAACTGAGAAAGAGAAAACATCTGTGAAATTTGAAAAAGAAAAAATGCTTTTGAAATCTGATAAAGATGAAGTACCTGTGCCATCTCAAAAAAGAAAAAGGGAATCCAACTCTGAATATTTAGATATGGTAAAAAATGGAAAAATTAAAAAAATTCATAGTTCAAGCACAGAAAGTTCTAATTGTCTAGTAAGTTAAGATTTATTTCCCCCTTTTGTTTTATTTGTTTCTTTTCTTTTGCTTCTTTTTAATTTTTATGTACACAAAGTAAAATGTAAGCTGCCTTTTTTTTTTTTTTTTATTTGTATAAAAAAGCACTTGTATACTGGTAATATATGCCAGCATTTAGTGCAGATACATTAAATTGTGATTATGTGAACTCTCTACATAAAATAGGATATTTATATGACACTTAGTACATTAAATAAAGTATTCTGTATACAGCAATACATTATGTATTATACTTCTAAGATGTAAAATTTCTTAGGCACTGCAATGTATTTTCTCATGCATATGGAATTCTAAATTCTTTTAATTAAAAAATGTAAAGGAATTTAAAATTTTAACTTAATTCATAAAAGGCAAATGAGAAAATAAGAAAATTCTCAGGTTTTGTCATGTGCAGCATAGCATACTGTTTTCAACTATAATAAAAATACTTCCTTTTCTAAGTATTAATATGACTGTACTAAAATTAGTAATTTCCAAGCAGTTTTAGCATTACTAGTGTTAGGAAAATAAAATTATATATTTTCCTAGCGCTAATGTCAGATTATTAGTTTCCGAGCAGTTTTAGCTTTGCTAGTCTTACATGTAGCGGCACATGCTGAGGTAAATTAAAATCTCTCAGAGCAAGAGAACTGTTATAATATGTTAATTTGTGAGAAGAGAGTAAATGCTG